CATACATACATAAATATAAATATATTTCAAGAGGTCACACTTAGCTGATGATTGGTAAAAAGCTTGTTTGGCATGCTGTCCCGGTAAAGAATTTGTGAGATCCTTGAGCCCTGGGGTCCCTCTCATTAGCAGGGCGAGAGGGGAGTTTGAGCTCAGATAGATCTTGATGAACTCCCCCGACTAAACTCAGGCTAATGACAGATAAAGGGATGGCTAAGGAGAGATTTACAGCTTGCTAAGAGCTTGACTATGGGCTAGAGCTTGACAATTTGGTATGTTTGGTCATTTGGTTGCGTGTTTTTATAGGCTTTTGGAGGAAACCGGCGAACCTGGGAAAAACTTACACGAGCATGGGGAGAACGAGCAAACAGAAATGTCGACTGGTTTAGTAGGGACTTTAACCAGAGACATAGGCAAAGAGGGGCATTGCCCCCTCAGTAAGAATTTGTGCCCCACCCCCCTATAAAAGATTGACTCAAAACTGAAAATTCTTTCTGTCATTAATTACTAACTCTCCCGTCGTTCCAACCTTCAATATTTTAAAATATATGACAGCAATTAAATTATGAAAATTGTGAGATTAAGGCTAGTCCCATAGTCCAGAGATCCGGTCCCCACGTCAGGTCAGGTGCGCCCGTAAATAGCCTTTAAAACGCGCACACGGCGACACGCACTTAACTCACAAGGAAGAAAAGTGGGTGACATGAAACGAGCAGCTTAATTCATAACATGTTTTGGTTAACTAATTCTTTAAACACAGCTCTCTTGAGCCCTAAAAGGAAGAAACGCAGAAGACATTTGCTGTTAATTAAATTTTAACAGAGACGCAACTGCTTGTCATTTTCACATTAGTTATTCGGGAAGATGTAGCCAAATAAAAATGTTTTAATAAAAATAAATAGTTCACTGCACAGTCCAACAGTAGGCTACACTATAAATAATATATCAATTATCAATTCTTTATCAATTCTTCTTCTTCTTCTTTTTCTTCTTCTTCTTCTTCTTCTTCTTATTATTAGTCTATTATTATTAATATTGTTACAATTAAGCTTAAATTGACAAAACGCAGAACCCTTTGAATGTTTGCTTTCATTTTGACATTGCTAAAAAGTTCACTTTTACAGTTGTGTAGAGAAACATCCCATTAAGCAGCAGCAGTCAGAGTATAACACTTAATAAATGCCTTTTGCGTTTAAAGATGATCGGCCTGCGAAGTCAAGTTTGCATTGTTATAAATGGAATAGCTAGCTATATAGTGCTTAAGGGGATTTACCGCGGATCAACCGAGAAACCTCTCACATGCTGCAGGTAGGCTGAATAATCTTTTAAAATATGTAATTCAGGCTATACTGCTATTTGCTCATGCAAAATTAAACAACATCAAATATATTGTAGATCTATTTTAAGAGCTAAAATACAGTCAGCATATCAAGTTTGTTTTGACTTGTAGCTCATGGCCCTAAAATGAAAATAACCTGAAAACAAGTTATTAAAATAGGCTTAATAAATAAATAAAATGACGGGTAGGCCTAGTAACCTAATGGTTTATGATGGTTAACAAATGACAACTAGACAATATCACACACACACAAAAACACACTTATGATAGCTTAAAATAAATCTTTATTTTTAAATTTAAAATGATGAAAAAAGTTATATAGCCTATTGAGTTGCGTGTTATCCGTGCCAAAATTTAACCAATTTTCACGATAATAACTGTATTGGGTATCTTTTTTATGTATTTTTCTGGCTACACTAATGCCTTAAAATAACTAAGTAATTGTTTTAAATGACATTAGATTGTAACATTTAGCTTTTTACTAACACTGATGTTGGTTGGGTAATATAGGCTACGTGAAGCGGGATGACTCGGTTAAGCTGATTTCACTATATTTATTTATCGGTTATACAAGTAGTCTGATCGTGGGTCAGCTTGCATGTGTGGGCATAATTTGACATCTTTACTTTAAACATTCATAGGCCTGTTATTTGAAATAAATAAGGAGAATAACATATGATTTAAAGCACTCGTTTGGCACTAAAGCCATGATCCGTCTGCATTATAAGCGGTATCGTTGCATTACCATATAATAAAATCAGTAATACCGAAACTGTGCATATTATTATTACTATTAAAACGTATATCACTGCCTTAGGTCAGTAACTTAGGCAGTAATGCAAAGTAATAATAAATGTAAATAAATAGCCTAAATCAAAAGAGACCAAAATCAGTCACCAGGTCTAGTGCCCCCCTATGGATTTAAAATGCCCTCTCAGTTCTGGCATCCTGGCGCCAGGCCTGGTTAGGAATCATCTCATTGGTGAATGCGGGACCAGTCGTGGACAATCATAAGCATGTGATCCTCTCGAAATTAGTTTGTAAACAAATGTATGATTATATAAAAACAAAGAATGTTAAAACAGCATCTAGGAATGCTCAAGCACGCCTTATACAGTTTAAGATTATCCACCGTTTCTACTGGACTCCTTGCAGACTGTTTTAGCTCGGGTTAAAAAATACACCTTATTGTTGGAGATGTAAGATCGAGAATGGTGATTTAGTTCATGCTCTATGGTCTTGTGCAATGATTCAGGATTTCTGGAAAAGAGTTCATAAACACATTTGCTCAGTTTTAGACTTGTCCTAGACCACAGGTGTCAAACTCAGTTCCACAAGGGCCGGAGCTCTGCACAGTTTAGTTCCAACCCTAATTAAACACACCTGATCAAACTAATTGAGTCCTTCAGGCTTGTTTGAAACCTACAGGTAAGTGTGTTGGAGCAGGGTTGGAACTAAACTGTGCAGGGCTTCGGCCCTCCAGGAATTGAGTTTGACACCTCTGTCCTAGACTGTTTAGGTAGTTGGACAGACAACGAAATAAAAGATAAAAACATACATTTTTGGGTCCAAACCAGTTTACTGATTGGCAGACATATAATTCTTAGGAGCTGAAAATCAGAGGAGGCCCCTTCCTTCCAAGAATGGGCAGTAGAACTTGCTAGAGTGGCCGCATTTGAAAAAATGTCTTATAAGCAAGTGGATAAGCTAAACCTATACTTTAAAAAGTGGTCCAAGTGCTTAAACTGTTTGGAAATAGAACAGTAATAAATGTATGAGAAATATACTGATGTCAATAGTGTAAATTTGATATGTTATTAACTGAACTTACCCATTCATTTGTTTTATTTTACTTTTTATTGTATTTTATTTAAATTTTTTCTTCATTATATAAGATAGAGGCCTTAATTTTATTTAATGATAGCCAAGCCGGGACCTTAAAGTTGTAGTTAGGGATTAGTTTGGGGTGGGTCTGTTAATAAGGCAAAAAAAAATTAAAATTGTTGATTCTTTTCAGAGTTGTATTCTGTATTCCACGCTGAAACCTGCCTGAGAATCAATAAAACTGTTAATCACTAAAAACAATGATACTTACACATTTTAACCTGAGTGTTTGTAAATCTTATTATAAAATGGTCAGCTTTTCGCATTGGTTTACATTGTGTGCCTCTAAGTGGAAATGTGTAAGCTATGCTGATGATACCCAGCTATACCTCTCTTTTCATCCTGATGATCCTTCGGTTCCAGCTCGTATCTCAGCCTGCCTGTTGGATATTTCACACTGGATGAAAGATCATCATCTTCAGCTGAACCTCGCAAAAACGGAAATGCTTGTAGTTTCTGCCAACCCGACTCTACACCATAACTTTTCAATCCAGATGGATGGGGCAACCATTACTGCATCCAAAATGGTGAAAAGCCTTGGAGTAACGATTAATGACCAACTAAACTTCTCTGACCACATTTCTAGAACTGCTCGATCGTGCAGATTCGCACTCTATAACATCAGAAAGATCCGACCCTTCTTATCTAAACATGCAGCTCAACTCCTTGTTCAAGCTCTTGTTCTCTCCAAACTGGATTACTGCAACTCTCTACTAGCGGGGCTTCCAGCTAACTCTATCAAGCCTCTTCAACTGCTCCAGAATGAAGCAGCACGAGTGGTCTTCAATGAACCTAAACGAGCACATGTCACTCCGCTGCTAGTCCGTTTGCACTGGCTGCCAGTTGCTGCTCGCATCAAATTCAAAGCTCTGATGTTTGCCTACAAAGTGACTTCTGGCCTTGCTCCTTCTTATCTGTTCTCACTTCTGCAGATTTATGTGCCCTCCAGAAACTTGCGTTCTGTGAATGAACGTCGCCTCGTGGTTCCATCCCAAAGAGGGAAGAAATCACTTTCGCTCACGCTCACGCTCAATCTGCCCAGTTGGTGGAATGAACTCCCTAACTGCATCAGAACAGCAGAGTCACTCGCTACTTTCAAGAAACGACTAAAAACTCAACTATTTAGTCTCCACTTCACTTCCTAATCTGCAATTGCCTCTTTGAATATCACACTAACTGTAAAAAAAAAAAAAAAAAAAAAAACTAATACTTCCCTTCTTAGACTTTACAGACCTGAAACTTGCCTATAGCACTTATTCATTGTTGCTCTTAGTTGTGTAAATTGCTTCCTTGTCCTCATTTGTAAGTCGCTTTGGATAAAAGCGTCTGCTAAATGACTAAATGTAAATGTAAATGTAAGTGTGTCATAAAACATGGCGGTACACAATTAGCCATGACATAGTTTCCTATTCTGTAAGTAAGCAGTTAAAAATACTTTAAAAGCACATAGTAAGCATATTTAAGTGAATGTAGTTGGTTGCTACCAACCTAAGGGGCTCAGTGGCTCTGAGTCAAGGTTAGAACAATAATTAACTCCGACTGAAGGTAATCAATTCGTTTTTTTAATACTTCACTAGCTTTAAAAGTAGATTCCCGTTGTCTGTTATAAATACATAAATGCATGAGCAAGTCTGCCTTATATAGTTCCGAGGAACATTATCCCTCATAAACATAACAAGGCTATCATGGAAATATCTGCAACCATCACCTAAGTATTATTAACCGGGTATTCAAATGAAATTCCACCAAGGACCTCTTGACAAGAAAAGTCAACAAGTAATGTGATGATTCTTTTATTTTCAAAAATGTATTCAAGCAAGTACATACAAAATGTTAAAACGATCACATCATCTACAATGCTTAATTCACCCCCATTCAAGACAAAAAAAATCCCATTTGTTCATAAAACGATCAGCTTCAAAGTAAATAATATTTACATGTAGTAAACTTTAACTACAGTATGTACAGTATCTTTTGATCCATCAGAGTTCTCTTTATAAGTGAGGGACGAGCACACAGATCAAGAGAACTTGAGAACTTTTAAGCGTTTATAAACTGCGCTCGCTACGCTTCATAGAACCCAATATAGGTCTCAACGGCAAATGCTACGATTTCCACAAGGAATAGTTTGTTCTTGGTAATTGTGAGGGAAGAAAAGCAGTCATATAGCTTCATTTCTTGGTAAGTCTGACGTGATAAATGCTGCATTTTATTGTTCATAAGTGTGAAACACAGCGAGTTTTCTTCTGGAAATTTGGCACACATGCTCAAATGCGAGCTCTTTTGTTTCATCCATCAGCCTTTTCATACAAAAAGCTGAAATGTCAAACAGACGACCTGAGCGCTACTTTTTTTCTTCTATTAAACAGTCCCATAAAGATCTGTATCCGAGGACTGTGAGAACAGCAAACATTAGGATTACTACTTTTGTATCGTAGCATGTTACTCAAAAGCAAACAACTTTCATCCAGGGGGGGGGGAATTCCATATAAATATTACAGCGGCGTTCAAAATTAACAATTAACCATTACCTTGGAATTAAAGCAAACTTTACATTTCAAGTTATTAGGAAGACACTCATATTCTCGCAGGAACATTTTTAAAATTGAGTCAGACAAAGTGGATGGAGGTCAAGTATAAAACTCGTGTAGACATACACAAATAGAAAACATATGTACAGTAATATACATCCTGTGGAGCTCTTTGAAAGTGTTGTGGTGTCCATTACTCTTCATGACAATCTTAGTGAAGTGTGGAGTGCTGGGTTCGTCAGAGCTGTCTCTAGTTTGATCTTCGAGTGACGGTGAAATATTTAGAACAGTAAAACAGTATAAAAGTTGAAAACAAGGAGATGAAGTCCATTAATTCTGGTGGCGTTTCATGTGTAGTGCCAAATGGTCTGAACGGGAGAAGCAGCGACTGCAGGCGATGCATTTGAAAGGTTTGGCGCCGGTATGTTTGCGGTAATGCCGCGTCAGTTCATCCGAGCGGGCGAAGCGCCAGTCGCATCCTTCCCAGCTGCACCGATAGGGCTTCTCCCCTACAAAAAGAAGACAAAAATTTAGATCATAGTTTGATGTATGCTTAAAATAAGATATGCGTATACCCAGATGATAGCTAATGTTCTCAGAATTTTAGTGAACATTCTAAAAGGCCTCTTTTAAAGTTACTTGAATGTCAGTGTTTCTCAACCACGTTCCTGGAGGACCACTAACGCTGCACGTTTTGGATGTCTCCTTTGTCTGTCACGCCCATCACAGGTCTTTTAGTCTCTGTTAATGAGCTGATGATCGGAACCAGGTGTGTTTGATTAAGGAGACATTAAAAATGCGCAGAGCTGGTGGCTCTCCAGGATTGTGGTTGAGAAACACTGCTTTAAATAACATTCACTCACTCAAAAAAAGATTTTTGCTGCTTGTTTAAACGTCTTATTTAAAATAAGCTGAATTAACACAATTCTTGAGATTTATTTGCATTTTATCTGCATTTTTTACAGTGCTGTTTGAAAACGCTTGGTTCCACACAATTCCTTTATATTGTCCCAACACAAATCGATTAAGTTTACTGAATTGTTTTTACAAATTGAAGTGGGTTGAACATAAAACAATTCAGTTTTCCCCAAAAAAGCCAGTCTGATAAGTATTTACGTTTATTTTACGTAACGCAAAAATATTACGTTTTGTCAGTTTAGTGGCTAATTCGTACAAGTTACCTAAACCACTGCTAAACCCAATCGTCATTGGGGGATGAGCAAATCGTACGAATTCATACAAATGCAAATTGCCGTGAGATAGTGTTGAAAAACCACAAGAATTGTGTTGATTCAGCTCGGTCATCAATCATTAACATTCACTATTGTTTTCTTATCTGGAATTTGTTCTTTAAGTAGTACTCCAGGGCAGCACGGTGGCGCAATGGTTAGCACTGTTGCTCGGCTGGGTCAGTTGGCATTTCTGTGTGGAGTTTGCATTTTCTCTCTGCGTTCATGTGGGTTCCTTTCGGTTTCCCCCACAGTCCAAAGCCATGCGGTATAGGTGAATTGAGTAAGCTAAAATTGTCTGTAGTGTATGTGTGTGAATGAGTGTGTATGAGCATTTCCCAGTACTGGGTACAGGGCATCCACTGTGTAAAACATATGCTGGATAAGTTGGCAGTTTATTCTGCTGTGGCAACCCCTGATTAATAAAGGGAAGGAAATTGAAGGAAAATGAATGCATAAATGGAACACTCTAGGTTTTTTTTATTTTTTAAATAGGCTCATTTTACAAATTCATAGAATAAACCGGTTGAGTTTTACCATTTTTGAGTCCATTCAGGCAGAAGAGTCAAGATTTTAATTTGAAAAATATCAAAACTCAAAAACACAACATTTTTGAGCAAGATGCTAATGGTCTAATCCGATTCAATGATTTATGCTAAGCTAAGCTAAAAGTGTTCCCGCTAGACCTAGAGATCAGCTGACTGGAATTAAAAACGATAAAACTCAATGGTTTAACTCTGGGGGAGTTGTGAAATGAGCATATGAAGTTCTCCTTTAAAACAGACTCTACAAACACTCCACACCAGTCGGACACATATTTGAGTGATGAAGGTTTGTTGAAAACTAGCAGTTATTGTTATGTATAGTTTTGTTCAGTATAGGTCAATACAATTATAGTATTTGAATGTAAATATTGGTAATTTTTAAAAGTATAAATTGTAGATTCATAAAAAAAAAAAAACATTATTGTACAATCATGGTTGATAAAAATCCAGTGTTGTTCAGTGAATGTTTTATTTAAGACGCCCAGAAGTTTATTAAAAATTTGCAGAAATTCTCAAGAAGATGGTTATTTCTACATCATTCTGGTGATTTTTTTTCCTAAAAATGAAGAAACAAAAAAACAAATGCTACTACTTGTTTTTCAATAGTTACTGCTATTAAAATCAAAATTCTCCTAATGTTTAAAAATCTTTGACATTTATTCACATAATCAAAAAAAAAAAAAAAATGATTCCAGGAATATTCCAAAATAATATTTCCGTATTTTAATAGAATCCTTAGCGAGAAAATTCATGAAACATTTTTTTTTGTTTTGTGGGAAAACTGCAGGCATCAGGATATGTGTACTTGCACACAATTCCATGCTGTTTTAAAATATAAATAAATGTCAAGCTCAAAATGTATCATACCTTTATAGACTTTACAGTTACTTTTATTCAATTAGCAGTTGTTGTTTTTTTCGACATGAAATGACTTCTCCCAGAAAATATCAATATGTTGTACAAGAGACATCATCTATAACATCATCTATAAGCATATACTGTATATATATATATATATATATATATATATATATATATATATATATATATATATATATATATATATATATATATATATATATATATATACAGTTGAAGTCACAAATATTAGCCCCCCCTGAATTATTAGCGCCCCTGTTTATTTTTTTCCCTCAATTTCTGTTTAATAGAGGGAAGATTGTTTCAGCACATTTCTAAGCATAATAGTTTTTAAAACTTATTTTCTCTTTGCCATGATGACAGTAAATAATATTTTACTTGATATTTTTCAAGACACTTCTATACAGCTTAAAATGACATTTAAAGGCTTAACTAGGTTAATTAAGTTAACTAGGCAGGTTAGGGTAATTAGGCAAGTTGTTGTATAATGATGGTTTGTTCTGTAGATTATTCGGGAAAAAATTAGCTTAAAGGGGCTAATAATTTTGTCCCAAAAAAAGGTTTTTAAAAAATTAAACACTGCTTTTTATTCTAGCCGAAATAAAACAAAAAAGTAAAAAATATTATGAGACATACTGTGAAAATTTCCTTGTTCTGTTAAAAATCATTTGGGAAATATTTAAAAAAGAAAAAAAAATCAAAAGGAGGCTAATAATTCTGACTTCAACTATATATATATATATATATATAAATATATATATATATATATATATATATATATATATATATATATATATATATATATATATATATATATATAGACACACACACACAAACACACACATATATGTGTGTGTTTAAACCTCTCTCAAACACAAACATATATATTTACATCTGAACAAAAAGTTTAGGTGAGAATTTACCAGGGGTGTAAATAATTTCAGTCTTGACTGTATTGTTTTTACATTGAAAAAAAAAAAGTATTGCACATTATAAAAAACAAAAACATGTGGATTCTTGTTAAATACTCCCTGCACTCAACTATCATAGCTTTAAATTACATGGTGAAAGGGGCAGAACTTTTATCGAAATCATTTCTGTCGCCACTGGCTTGCTTGGTTTGGGACTTGTGGAGCTGTGCATCGATGGATCAGTGTCTGGACTTTCAGCAGTGAAAATCAAACCACACTGAACTGAACTAAACTTTACCTCTGAAAACTGGACTGACACAGTTTCAATTTACTACAACTTCTATATTAAGCTGCTTTGACACAATCTACATTGTTAAAGCGTTATAGAAATAAAGATGAATTGAACCGAATCATTTGGGCCACAACTAACTTCAAGGTTAGTGACAAATTTATTAAGTTTAATCCAAGGCCGTTTTAAAGTCCAGCTTGAACATATTTTAGTGCGTATCATGAGGCTTTTAAATGGCAGTTATAGAGGAATTAGACGTGTATGTGCTTGTGGTTTGGAAAGTAATACAACTCCCATGTGTAAACACGGAAGTCATTTCCATGGCGCTTAGCGCACACTGATAAGATCTGACATTGTGAGGTTTGCCACAGCACTGAATCCTGAAAAGTTCAGTGTTGAAAAAGATAATGGTCATTCACGACTCATGCCTCTAAAGAGAACGGGAAGAGGGAAGGATTTCTTTATATTTACCTCTTACTTATTATAAGTTCTTAAGCAACTAAAATCCACCTTCTGATAATGATGAGTCATAAATAATTATGACATATATATTCATTCATTTTCTTGTCGGCTTAGTCCCTTAATTAATCTGGGGTCGCCACAGCGGAATGAACCGCCAACTTATCCAGCAAGTTTTTATGCAGCGAATGCCCTTCCAGCTGCAACCCATCTCTGGGAAGACTTGTTAATATAAATATATATATATATATATATATATATATATATATATATATATATATATATATATATTACACTTGAAAACTAAACTTTTGCTGCTTGTTAGAACTACTTTAATAAGTTGAACCAACACAAGTTTTTTTAGAGTCAACTAAATTGTTTTATGTTCAATCATAATTGTTTTATGTTCAAAGTTTTACAAATTAATTTCGAGAGGAGCATGTGATATGATTAGTCACTGCTGATCTGTCATCCGTAATCAGCAATAATCCAATCAGATTCATCCAATACTATAAACAGATTTCTCCCTACTGCCTTATGTTCGTTTTGGAAGAATCCCCCCTTTCACCCCATCTCCACCTTTTCCAGGGAGAGCTCTCGAGACCCACCTGATATCGGATCCCCTTACATGGTAAATGACCAGGCGGGAGCCCTGGGCTCAATTATCTCCAAGCTCAGGGTTCTCTCCTGGGACAGCATGCCAAAGCTGCTAATAGCGTCAAGCAGTATCTAAGTGTGAACTCTTGAAGGAAAAGATTTAGTTAACTTAAGCTTTTTGTGTTAGGACAACATGAAGGAATTGTGTGAAACCAAGTGTTTTTAATACGATTCAGAAGTTTTACATGTATTTGATAAAAACTACACTAAAACAGTAATATGATTTATTTCATTGTAAGAAATTTAATTTATTAGAAATGTACATCCTTCATGAATTTTCACTTTCCTTCAGAAATCATTCTAATATGCATACTAATGCTAGTAATTTTCTGCACATATGGTCAATACACTGCAAAAATGCTTTTCTTAAAACCAAATATCATTTTTGGGACAAGTAAAACAAGAAAAATAACAATATTGATATGTTTTCAGTTTGAAGTAAGAATTTTTTACTTACTCCAACACTGGCAGATAATTTAGCTTGTTTAAAAAAACTAAATCTGAATTTTGACCTTATTATTTCTGGAAATCAAACAGTAT